AATCTCATGCCTGGCTCCACCCCCTGACTGCTGTGATTACAGGCTCATGACATCACACTCAGAAATCTTCCTGTCTTACAATCTATGAAAAACGACTCAGAACCCAGAATGCCAGTCTAATACTCCATTAGACCTTGGAGAAGACAGAGACACATGTTGTCCTGGGTTGGGTTTTTTCAACTAGGAAAAAAGGATGTGCATGTCTGTTCTATTTGTTCTTTAAGGGTGATGTAAAAAAAAGAATGTGGTGATATTTAATCGTTTGTTGTTGTTGTTGGGTTTTCTTTGGGGGGGTCATTTTCGGGGCAGGTTTTCTCTGTGGCTTTGGAGGCTGTCCTGGAACTAGCTCTTGTAGACCAGGCTGGTCTCAAACTCACAGAGATCCACCTGCCTCTGCCTCTGGAGTTCTGGCATTAAAGGTATGTGCCACCACCACCCAGCCACGATGTTTTATTTGTGCTCTAACAAATGAAGCTTGCCTAGAGTTCAGAGGGCAGAGCTAACCACTACTGAAACACAGAGGCCAGACAGTGGTGGCCACACCTTTAATGCCCTCATCTGGGAGGAGGAGACAGGAAATGACATATGGCTGGATGGAGAGAGGAGCTCAGCCCTTTAGAGCTGAGGAGTTGGTGAGGTGAGAGTTGGCTGTGGCTTGCTTCTTTGACTCACTGATCTTTCAGCTTTCACCCCCTAATATCTGACTCTGGGTTTTTAGTATTAAGACTAATTAGAATTTGTGCTATAGAGTGCACATCATTTGGACAGTCTTTCCAATAATCACTCCATGAAACATGACTGCATGAAAAACTTTGTTAGAAGCAGTACTTTGGGTTTCAGAATATTCTATCTCAAGCCTCAATATCTGCCTATATAAGGTAGCTGAATGAGTTGTCCTTGGACTCTAGGCTAAGTTTCTGCTCAGAGGATATGATGATCTCCTAATAAAGGAGTGGAAATCTTTCTGCTCACTATAGAAATCACTGGATGAGTCTAACACTTAATAAACACGATAATTAGTCTAAAAAACAAACTTACTGAGGCTGGATGGACGGCTCAGTAGTTAAAGTGCTTGTTGTACAACCATAAGGACCTGATTCCAGATCCCCAGAACCCAAGATGTGAAGTCAGACACTGCAGAATGGGTCTGTAATGCTAGGGTTCATACTGCAGGACAGGAGGCTGAGACAGAATCCCTGGAAGCCTGGGGTCCAGCTAGCCTGGCATAGGCATCAATGAACAAGAGGCAAGGTCTCAAATAACGTGGAAGGTAAGGACCAACACCTGGGATTGTCCTCTGACCTCCATGAATGTGCACACCAGTACTTGTACACAGGAACACATGCCTGGGTGTACATGTGCACACACACACACACACACACACACACACACACACACACACACACACACCCCTGCCTGTTTATATCATGTTAACAATGGATGACTATATCTACTAATAGAATCCATTGAATGGCAAGCTTAAATCCCAAAACTGTATGCAACAATTTCCCTCCACCACACAGAACAGACAGAGAACAAAACCCATCATAAAACAGTGGCTTGAGATTCAGATGCCCACAGCCTGTCTTGCTCTCTGGGATTCCTTACTTGGCTTGCAGATGCCAGAAGTGGATTCTTCCAAGTAGCTGATTCCATCTTGAGAATCCTCACTGCTGAGATCTACACAAAGGAAAGGAAAAAATTCCTTAAATGTCTAAGTGTGGTCAGACTTTCTTTGAACCACCACCTCCCAATAATGACACAGAGACTTCTCATTAATTATGAAAGCTTGGTTGTAGCTTAGCCTTGATCCCAACTAGCTCTTAAGACTTAAATTAACCCATTTATATTAATTTATATTCTGCTGCCAGGCTTATTTCCTCTCCTCAGTAAGAACATCCAACTTCCTCTGCATCTGGTTGATGAATCTCCACCTCTCAGTACTTTCCCAGAGTTCCTAGCTGTGCCTGGAAGTCCCACCTATCCTCTTCTGCCTAGCTATTGGCCATTCAGCTCTTTATTAAACCAATCAGAAGGTGCCTTAGGCAATTGTGGTAAAACAGTGACACATTTTCACACAGTGTGATCAATATCCCACAGCATCTTATGGGAGATAGCAGGCACACACACGGCAGGGAACTCCTGAGTGTGAACACTAGGAGGAGTTAACTCAAGGCTGAACTTCCTTCCTTGCAAGGCTGTGAACCAACGACCTAAGCAACTGCCATGGAGGTGTTCCCTCAGCCACTGACATGCATCCTGTCTGCATCCTCATTCTGGTTCTCCCTTCCTCACACCCTCACCTGTCTCTTTCTTTCCCTCCTGTTTTCCTCCTCGGCTTTCTTCTTGTCTCTGCCCATCACTCCTCTTCTTCATCTGCAACTGGTGATGGACCACTTGGTCCTTGGAATGTTTCCCTGTCCATCTCTTTTCATATATAACTTTGGTTGCCTGATTTTCCTCTCTCTTCATAACTACTACTGCCACCCCCACCATCCTGACACATTCAGCTGTCTTCTCTTTCTTTAGAGAAACAAACCAGGCCTCAACATTTATCAACCTCCACTTCTTATTTCTGCCTTCAATTTTCCCAGTTCCTTCTGCTAAGCTGGAGGTTGGCTTTGTTTGGGCCTCTTTCCCATCCTTTCTCCCCCTGGTTATCCCACTGCCCTGAAGGACCCTAATGACATGTCTAAGACTCTTGCTTGGTAACCTGGAACAATGCTTTCCGTTATCCTTACCCATGGCCTCAGATGCCTGATTGTGGCTGGTACTTGCTTGGGTCTCCTCACCATCCAAGACTAATGATGAATTTTCCTGCTTTATATCCATATGCATGGAATAGGGATAAACTTGGGTTCCCTGGCTTCGTAGCTCTGCTCCTGGATCAAATTACAACAAATGAATTCTTTTCAAGGACTGAGGAGACAGTTCAGGCTGTAAAGTGTTTGCTGTGCAAGCACGAGGAGCTGAGTTTGATTCCCAGGATCCATGTCAAAAAGACACATAAGAAGGCATCCATTTGCAGTGCCAGCACTCAGGAGATAGAGATTGGTGGATCACAGGGCATCACTGGCCAGACAAACTGTCTAGACTAGTCATCAACGTCCAGGCCAATAAAAAACAAAACAAAACAAAACATAACAAAAACAAAAACAAAAACAAACGAACTGGAATATAACTGCAAAGCACAAGACAACCAGAGGCTGACCTCTAGCCTCTGCACGCATGTCTATGCAGACCAGTACACATGTTTATACACACATACACAAAGGCATACACACACACACACACACACACAGAATTCTCATTTATCTCTCTAGAAGATCATTTTGAATGCCATGATTGACCCCCTCCCTGCAATTTCACTCCCACCCTGCTCATCCCTCCCTTCTACCCACTGAATCCTTGGAGAGAATGTTTGTTTTGATATTTCAAAGATCAGAAGTAACCAGGCAAGGCAGTACACACCTGCAAACCCAGCACTTGGAAGGCTAAGACAGGAGGAATGTTAAGTTCAAGGGCAGCCTGGGCTGCATAGCATGACCTGTTTCCAAAAAATAAATGAAGAAAAATTTAAAATTTAAGTGTTTTATGACATTCATCTATAAAAGTGGCATTTAAGTGGTTGCAAAGAGAAACTATCACTTGCATAAAAAAAAGCAGATGATCAACACCCCAGAAGCCTCTGGGTGGCACATTCTACTGTTGTCAAGGACATTCTCAAAGTCAACCAGCATCTCCAGTTTCAAGACCTAGTATAATTTTTCTACTTATGTAACCAACACAAAAGAACTCCTAACCATGCTATCTTTTCTCTATTCTCAAATATGCCAAACCCTCCCAGATTTGTATATGTATGTATGTGTGTATATACAACTAACATGCACATATTAATATGTTTGTGAGACTTTTCTGTATTATTATTTTTGTTGTTATAGAAATATGCTGACTAAGTCAGGCAGGTGGTGCATGCCTTTACCCCCAGTGCTTGGTTCTCTGAGTTCAAGGTCAGCCTGGCTTATAGAGCAAGTTCCAGGATGGACAAAGATACACAGAAAAACCCTGTCTTGAGAAAACAAAAGCAAGAGAGAGAGAGAGAGAGAGAGAGAGAGAGAGAGAGAGAGAGAGAGAGAGAGAGAGAGAAGGAATATGCTGTTTGCTCTGTTTCAATTTAGTTTTTAAGAAACACAGTGAAAGAAGCATTCTTTGTTCTGTGTGCTTTGGATCATTAGTTTTGAGACAGGTGTGTGTAGCCCAGGCTTGCCTCAGTGTGTGGCTGAGCATGGCCTACAACTCCCGATCTTCTATCCCTGTTCCTCCTCTAGGGCGCTGGGACTGAGGCATGTGTATCTCACTCTGTGCTTTCCTGTGTCACATTTCTCCTCTTGTCTCTTGAGGATCATAATTGTTGAGCTCTGGCATGTGTATGTTTTCAAGCTTAAGAGTTTACATCCAGCTATTTCCCCAAATTACACAGTTTCCAGGACCAGCAGGAGCTGAAGAGACAGAGCATAGCAAATGCAAGAACCTAAGGCAAGAAGGTGTGGTGGGAAGTGGTATCACGATAAAGGCAAGTGATGGGGACAGGAGCATGGCTGCCAACCTTCATTGCCACAGTGACAGAGCAGTCAAGTGCCCAGAGCTGCAGAAGGCACTGGGGCTCTAAAAGCCAGACAAACTGGTTTGCTCTTATTTTTACTTTATGTAGGTGAGTGTTTTCCCTGTGTGTAGTTTGTGTATGCAGCATCTGAAGAAGTCAAAAAAAAGGGTGTCAGATTGTCTGAACTAGAGTTAGAGATGGCTGTGGGTGTTGGAACCGATCCTGGGTCCTCTGCTAGAGCAGCCAGACTTCATGATCACTGAGCCATCTCTCCAGCCCAATTCTTTTTTGGAAGATGTTTTGGGAGGCAGAAGACAGAGATTTGAAGGGAGAAACATGGGAGGGCAAAGCCAAACAAAATTCTGCTGTTGCAGTTTAAGTGAGTGAGACGGGGTCCTGCATGGGTGGCTGGGCACACGGGGCAGGCTGAGCACAGGGCAGGCTGGAGATGGGTGAAACTTGTAACTGACACAGTGTCAAACAAGGTGAGAGAAGCTTTAAAACACTAAGTTGAGGGGTGTCTGTTACATTACTGAGCAGTAGATGCCAAAACTGCCTCCACATGGAGACATTCTTTTTTGTCTCAGGAAATCTCCGGGCACTTGGAAAAATGAGCCAAGAGGACAGGCCTGGGCTGGAGCTGTGTGCCTAGGAAGCTGCAGGTTTTATACAGCAGTTAAGCTGCAGAAAACCAAACCCTCTTATAATCTGAGGGCACCAGAGTGTCATTATGCTCAGGGGACATCTTATCCTTACCAATGGAAGTGACATGTTAGTTTCCCCTTTTATGACAGCCCATTCTGCCAATTTTCCAGTCTCAGTCACTTCATGCCTGGCCCACTTTCCTATTTCTTGATATTTGTTTACTGTTCTTTATTTCTCTGCTTATATTTTGCTCCCTGTATATTTTTGACTCTGATTAATTGATTGATTGATTATTTTTACTTATTAGGCAGGTGTGCACCACAGCATGTGTACGGCAGTCAGAAAACAAGTGTGGGCATTTAGGCCAGGCTTGCCTCAGTGTGTGGCTGAGCATAACTCCCGATCTTCTATCCCTCTTCCTCCTCTAGGGCGCTGGGACTGAGGCATGTGTATCTCACTCTGTGC